TATGATTTGTCTCCAAAGACTCTCCCTCTCCACTCCAAATCGCCACAACCACTTGCCCAATAAAGCCTTATTAAATAGAACAATGCTCCTTACTCCAAGGCCCCCATCCTAATAGAAGAACAAACCACACTCCAATTAATCAAATGAAATTTCCTCTCTTCCCCGAGCCCTGCCCAAAGAAACTCCCTTTGAATCCTCTCTAATCTGTTTTCCATTGTACCAGGGATAGGAAACAGTGACAAGAAATAAGTTGGGAGATTAGACAAAGTAGATTTAATGAGAGTAAGGTGACCTCCCTTCGAGAGGTACATACGCTTCCACCCCGCTAACATCTTCTCCACCCTTTCGACATTCCAAATATGTTTACTTTTAAACTTTGCCCCTAAAGGAAACCCAAGGTATGTCATGGGCAACTGCGCAACCCTACAATCTAATATATTGGCCAACTCATCCACGTTAGCAACCTCTCCCACTGGAATGGCCTCAAATTTCCTTAAATCAATCTTCAATCCCGACACCGTTTCAAAACATAGGAGTAGACGACGCAAGTTCCTGAATTGCTCATTATCTGTATCGCAAAGGATTAGTGTGTCATCTGCAAATAGCAAATGGGAAACTATAAGTATCCACTTGTAAAGCCCCTTAGAAATCCTTCTTCCACTGCTCTCTCAAGCATCTTACTGATTGCCTCCATAACAATCACAAACAGCAACGTAGACAAGGGACCCCCTTGCCTCAAACCTTTACTACTTCGAAAATGACCCTCCAGGTTGCCGTTGACCAAAACGGAGAATGAAACGGTAGAGATACAAAATTGAATCCACTTGCACCACTTTTCCCCAAAGCCACATCACCCGAGCATGTACAAAAGGAACCCCTAGTTCAAATGATCATAAGCCTTCTGAATATCGAGTTTACATAACATTCTTGGCACCTCCAGACGCAATCTAGAGTCAACGTATTCATTCGCCATAAGCACAGAATCCAAAATCTGTCTTCCTTTCACAAAAGCATTCTGACTCTTAG